ATGAGACTTTAGCTGATAAGAGGTTTTGTATCGATAGTTGGTTGTTGTGGGCAGCTGCTGTGAATGGAAGTTATCGCTACATGCTTTTGAGTTATGTGGTATATCATATAATTGCACCTGAGGTTGCAGGTATGGGTTATTACGGCTGGCTCGGGCTTATTCTGAATATAGATGTGAGGTTCTGATCTTGTGTATGATTTCGGAAATGGAAATGTGGTTCTGTGGTCTATGGGCTAGATTGGGTTGTGAAATTTCAGTTGCAATGTGATCGGACCTATATGAGATAGGGTGACGTGGGATCACCCCCGAGTATATGCATGGTAAAGTTATTTCAGCTATTGGTTGGATTTTAGAACAACTCCGAGTACATTCGAGGACGAACGTGCGTTTAAGTGGGGGAGGATGTAACAACCCGACCGGTCGTTTTGAGCTTTTGCACGTTGATCGCCAGTTCCCGGGCATGACATGCCCCGTGTAATGTATTATGACTAATGTAGATCGTTGGCTTTGGTTTTCAGGAAAAATTTGGAATGAATTTGAAAGAACAGTCTCAGTAGAAAGCTTTGAACCTGAAAGGTTTGACCAAGAGTTGACTTATTTCTATATGAGTTCGGATCGGAATCTGTATGATTTGGTTAACTTCGTTGGGTGATTAATGACTTAGGAGCGCGATCGGAATGCATTTTGGAAGCCCGTGGAAGGATTTGGCTTGAATTGGCAAAGTTAGTATTTTGGCGAATTCCGCTTGAAAGGTGAGATTTTGATCCGAGGGTCGGCATGGAATTCCGAGAGTTGCTGTAGCTTCGTTATGTCTTTTGTGATGTGTGTGCAAAATTTCAGGTTAGTCGGACATCGTTTGGTCGGATTTTTGATCGAAAGTGAATTTCGGAAGTTTCTGGAAACTTAGGCTTGAATTCGATGAGTTTTGGATAATTTGATGTTGTTTGAGGTGTTTTGATGATTGGAACAGGTTTGAATGATGTTATGGATTATGTTGGTATGTTTGGTTGAGGTCCCAAGGGCCTCGGGTGTGTTTCGGGTGGTCAATCGAACCACTTTGTGCCTTAAAAGATAGCAGGAAATTGCAGGTTTGGCTTCAGTGCTGTTGCAGGTATTTTCCTCTTCGCGATCGTGTGAGGGGGCTCGCGATCGCGTAGAGTTATTATGTTTTTGTTGTTGTGAATCGCGGTCGCGTGGTATCATTCGCGATCGCGTAGTGGAAAGGTTCTGAGCATAGCGTTCGCGTGAGGTTAAACGCGATCGCATAGAGTAAAGTTGGGCTGTGCTTCGCGATCACGAGGTCTTTTCCGCGATCGTGATAAAGTGAAATTGAGTGCTTGGCAGAATGTTTTAAAAGCCCATTTCCGCGATTTTGAGGGTAAGAACCTCCATTTTTGGCGACATTGAAGCTTGGGAGAGTTAATTGAAGAGGGAATTCAAGATGATTTCTTGGAGGTAAGATTTTTGATCTCAATACTCAATTATTATGTGAATTCCACCTAGAAATTCATGGAAACTAAGCCAAAAATTGAAGAGCTAGGGCTTGAGAAATTGGACTTTTGATTTGGGATTTTAAAGACCATTTGAGGTCGGATTTGAGAATTTCTGATATGTGTGAACTCGTGGGAAGATATGGAACCCGTTGATATGGAAATTTCTGAGTTTCGAGAAGTGGGCCCGGGGCTTGGGTTTTGGTAATTTCGGGATTTTTGCCCGTTATTGATTGTTTTCGCTTGGGCTTTGTTCCCTTAACATATTGTGATGTATTCGCTCTGATATTGGATAGATTCGACGCGCGTGGAGGCCGATTCGAGGGGCAAAGGCGTCTTGAGCTAGAGATATCACCGGTTCGAGGTGAGTAATGATTGTAAATGATATCCTAAGGGTTTGAAACCCCGGATTGCACATCGTAGTGCTGTATTGAGGCGAGACACACGGTGGATGATGAGCGTGGGGTCTTTACTGTTGGGGATCGTGACTTGGTCCGTCCCGATTGATGATTTTACTGCATATTTGACTGAAACTTATTTGTTATCATCATAATTTGGGCTGATTGCCATATTTGGGCTTCGTGCCAATTATTTGAACCCCTTCGGGGATGGTTGTTGATATTTCCTCACTATTTGATTTTATACTTGAACTCAGTCATGTATTTTCCACTATTTTCAAAACTCAACCAAGTTTATTTTGCTTTAACACTTGAAGTGATATTTCCGATACTATTTTTGGGCTAAGCAGCATGTTTTACTGTTGCCTGAGGGGCTTATGTGATTTTTGACTGAGTAAGGCCGAGGGCCTGTGTGTGAGGATACTTTTGGATCGGGTTGCACGCTGCAGAAGTGTTATACTGATACTGAAATGAGGCCGAGGGCCTAGACTTGATGCCACGAGATGGCTTGATATTGCGCTTGGGCCGTAAGGGGCCCCTCCCGGAGTCTGCACACCCCCAGTGAGCGCCGTCGATGATAAATGGATCGGGCTGCACACTGCAGCGACATGTGGATCGGGCTGCATGCCGCAGCGGTACTGGTACTGTTTTATGTGTTTACCTTATTTCATTTGTCTGCCATTGTCTGTTATCTGTGCTACTTCATGCAATATCTACCTGATTGCCTGGCATTACCTGATAACTGAGTGTTGTGCCCGAGGGGCGGATTTTCGTGTCGTCTTACTCCGTACCGTTTGTTTTGATTCATTTGCGTAACAGCTGAAAAAGTCATTTCCAAAAGAGGTTTAAAATGAGCTAAGACGTTTTTTTCTAAAGATTTCACTGCTTTTCTCAAAGGGTTTTACACTGCTCTATACAGCATGATGGTTTGTTTTACGGGACTTCTTACTGCTCAGTTATTATTTACCTTTATTACTCACTGAGTTGGAGTACTCACTTTACTCCCTGCACCTTGTGTGCAGATGCAGGTATTTGTTCACCTGGTAGCGGGTTTTGAGCTGATCGGAGGCTAAGTTTATCGGAGTTTAGCAAGGTGACTGCTAGCGCTCGCAGCACTGCATTTCTTCCTTATGTTTATCAGTCCTCTTTTGTATATTTTAGGCCTTGTAGTGGTATTTATACTCTGATAGATGCTCGTGACTTGTGACACCCCGGTTTGGGCTGTGTTTGGGTTGTATTCCGCACTTAATAAAGAAATCTTTTGTTTAGACTGTGGTTATTTAGTTATGCTAAAACTGCTTATTAATATTAACTATTCTGAAAAGGCAATTTGGGTTGGTTGGCTGGCCTTGTCTTCATGAGAGGCGCCATCACGGCCGGATCGGGGTTTGGGTCGTGACACATGCTTTACTGTTATTCTAGTTTAAGACAGTATTATGTCTTACTTCAGACCATATTTGTAGTATTCTAGACGCTCATGTACTTGTGACTCCGGATTTCTGGGAGTAGTTTAGTATCGCGTTACTTCAAATAACACTATGTTCATTTGTGAATTTATTAATTGTTAATTATCATCACCCTGTTATAATTGCTAAAACATGTTAATTAATTACCTAATGTTGGCTTGCCTGACAGGTAGATGTTAGGCGCCATCACGGCCCCAATAATGAAACTTCGGCTCGTGACAAAATATTCACATGAGTGTTAGCATGAATATGAACGACTAGCTTAACTAATAATGTCCCTCTATTTTTGTGTGGGATTTCATCAATAATTGTTAGATTTTGTCTGAATTCAAGCCCAATTCCAATTAACACTATTTTGTATGGGCTTACCTTTCAGAATAATGACTTTTCCCATAAAATTACAGTGGTTGTTTCCTTAAGTTATTGATCTTTTAAATATTGTTCATAATTTTATTTAATTGCTACAGTAAGCTTTTTTTCACCAAAAATAATATAAAATTTTAATATTAAAAAACTTAAAATTCTTGTTTGACGGTGAAAACTTGAAGTTAACGATAATTACTGTTAAAATTATTTGAATGTTAATAATTTACGCTTAAATTTTTAATTCAAATGCTACTTTAATGTTAAAAATCTCAAAAATCAGTTGTTTGTCCTTAGAAAGTGTTGAAGAAGACAAAATATGATCTTCTTTGATTTGATATCAATTGACTAAATTGGTGATAATGGATCGCTTTTGTTGGTGTTTGAAGTAGGTTTTTTGACATTTGAGATCATCTGGACTATATTCGATGTGGTTTGATCGAGCTTAAAATTGTAATTGGAAGAAATACTTTGTTGAATAATATAGAAAAAGTATGCCAAACGGATAGACTTTGATGAACAATTTAACAAATAGGTAAATGCTAATAACACGAAGTTACACCAATCTGGTAGAGTCTGATGAATAATTGAATAAGCACAAAATTATGCCAATCAGGTAAAGTCTATAAATAATTTAACAAATATATTGAATGTAGATAACACAAATAATGCAATATGAAAGACTTTTATGAACAATTAAACAATCACAAAGTCATGTCAATTGGGTAGAGATTATGAACAACTAACAGCATAAATAGAGCATAGAATAAAATCTATCTATCCGGTAGAGAAATCCTTGACAAGCAATAAATATATTGGGTTCGGAGGTTATTTTATAAATATATTAAAATGAAAACAATAGTTAGATACCAGTCCTTTATAGGGCCATTCGGTCCAATTTTCATAACGGAGAGCTCTTAATTGCTATCGGAGGATAATTTCAATAGTTTGCACAAGGCTAAATAGATAAAACATTCTTTATTAACTTACTATGAAAAAATATTATTAACTTGCCATATCTCGAGTGATATCTAATAATTAACCTACCTAAAGATAATTTCCTTCAGATAATAGTGCTATTATCATGCAATCACAAGTGGAATATGAAAATATTGTAATTCATTTGTACATAGTAAGACAAGAAATACATAATAAATGAATTGCCTTAATTCTCTTAACTGATTACCATATTTTAGCCAGTGGACACTTACAAAAAATACTATATAAAGATAGTTGTTGGTTAGACACTATATTAGTGAAATAAAGAAAGTTTTATAAAAGAAATGGCAATTCCTAAAAGTATTTTGCTCATTATTGGTGTTATGGCTGCTTTATTTTCTATAGCTTTGGCTACTCCAGGGACTGCCACATTTTATACGAACTATGTTCGTAAGTATTTTAGTTTTCTTTCATTAAAATTTTAATAGACCAAAACAAAATGGGATTTACGTTGTATGCATCGAGTAGTATAAATTTTCTTTACTCTATAAGTAAATTTTAATTTATAATATCAAGTTAGTTATCATTTTATTAGGTTATCATAATTTATAACCCTGTATATGACTTGATATTTTTCACTACCAACGCTATAATTTAAACTTATAAAAGAGCTTTATTGATACGAAAAAACAGTATGAAAAATGATTTGCATATTCCTTTCTATGAAAAATAAAAAATAAAAAGGTTATTGATGATACATGAGTCATTTGACTTTAGAAACAAAACAAGAACAATTGTTTTCTTCAAGTGAGAAACAATGCAAATGTCTCATTCAATTATTTGCTTAATATCATAATTTTTTTTTGTTATAACTAATTCTGAACTTGTATAGAACTGAGGCTTAATTATTATTATTATTGGTGCAGCTTCAGCATGTTATGGAAACACACCCCAAGGTACCATTATAGCAGCAGCAAGTGATCCTCTTTGGAATAATGGTGCAATATGTGGCAAAACTTTCAATGTCACATGCACTGGTCCAACAAATCCAGTGCCACACCCTTGCACTGGCAAGAGTATTGTGGTAAAGATTGTTGATCATTGCCCTGGATGTGGTGGGACCCTAGATCTATCTAAAGAAGCCTTCTCAACCATTGCTAATCCTGTTGCTGGCGTTATTAAGATCGACTATATCCAGTAAGTAACGGTTTTTAACGCATATATAAATCTGATACTCTTTGGTGGCCGTGAATCGAGAAATACTAAATTCAGTTGAACCATTTAACTATATGTTGTATCTGCCACTGAGTATATTATTTTACGATTTTCAGGACATCATAAGAGCATCAAAGGCGCATGGAATTCCAATCTATACTATATATAGCATGTTTAAAATATATTCCATAGTGAAGTTGATTTGATCTATAATTCACAATTGAATGTATGTATTTGATCAATTCTAAGAATAAAAGTTCATCTTTTCCTTTTCTCTTTGTTCTATGTTGGAAAATATTGAGCATGTTTTATCAAGCGCAAGCTATTTATCACATGAAGACTGCAAGGCACGATTTTTTTTATTTTTTACATGGGAGAGGAAGGATAAGACAGAGATCATTTGAATTCCATTAGCAATGAGGATTCAGAATATCAAACATTGATTAATCAAAGAGAGATTCAACAACGAAAGGGAAGATCGATTATTTGGGATCATTCCTTTCTTCAAACGAAATGAAAAGAGATAGAATCAGGCCGATTCACAAAATGCCTTTCTGAATATTTGCCACAAATAAGTTTCAGCTACGAAACTCTTCTCAACAACCCTTAAGATCGTCATTAAAATCTTTTGTTGTGACTTTTTCCATTTTTGTGGCCACTAGATAAAGTGCTTTTCTTCTAATGCTTTCCCATGTTTCCTTCATTTTCTTCTAATGCTTTCCCATGTTTTCTTTCTCTACCTTTATCGGTAATATAAAAGCTAAAAATATACCGTTTGTCAAAGTAATTATCAGCAAAACTTAAGATCGAAGGAAATATTTCTGTAGTAAATCTAAGTCATTTTGTTCGATTCTATCTTCACTTTAGGCATCCTTATGATGTACGACCTGCTATTGCTTGAATGTTACAATAATTTTTGAACTTTTTAATTAGTAATCTAATGTAACCTTCTATTGGTTGAGTTATAATTTTTTGTCCACCAAATGTAACAACCCAATCGGTTGTTTTGAGAATTTAAGTTATATTCAGTAGCATAAGGTCTTGAACAACTTCATATTATATGTATCGACTTGCGTGCATGGTTGAATTCAGTTACCAGATGATTCAGAGTCGAATTAGAAGAAGGAATCTAGTTTTATAAGCTTAAGCGGTGAGAATTTAACCGGAATTTGACTTTTATGTAAACGGCTCTGAAATGGATTTTGGATAACTTCAACAATTTCGTATGGTAATTTGGGACTTAGGCGTATGTCCGGATTCAGATTTGGAGCATTTCGGCGAAAATTGGAAAAGTTAAAGTTTGGAAAATAGAGAAGTTCGACCCATAGTTGAATTTTGTGATATCGGGGTCGGAATGCGATTCCGAGAGTTGGAGCAGCTCCGTCATGTCATTTGGGACTTGCCTGCAAAATTTGGCGTTATTCTGGGTTGGTTTGATTGGTTTCGGCATGAGTTTTCGAAGTTGAAAGATTTGGAAGTTCATAGATTGATTCATGCGCGATTTACATTTTTGGGATTGTTTGATTTGATTCGAGACCTCGAGCGAGTCCGTGTTAGGTTTTAGAACTTTTTTGTGTGTTTTAGACGGGGTCCCGGGGGCCTCGGGTGTGTTTCGGATGGGCTACGACCATTTCCTTCTATTTTTGAACTGCTGAATCTGTCATCTGGTTTCCTTCATCGCGTTCGTGTCCTTTCCTTCGCGTTCGCAAAGTTTTATTTTGGAGGGTGATTTATTTCCTCTTCGCGTTTGCATATGTTTCCTCGCGTTTACGTAGTTAGGCCATTCCACTCTTCGCGTTCGCATACTGCTTCACGCGTTTGCGAAGAGTAGTCGTTGGGCCATCACACTTTTCTTCTTCGCGTTCGCGAACGTGTTGTCGCGTTCGCAAAGCACAACTGGGCAACTTTCATTTTCCTTCGCGTTCGTGATGCATAAAGACCTGGGCAGGCAGAATATATTCCCAAATCGAGGGTTAGACCATTTTTATCATATCTTGACTTGTGGAGCTCGGTTTTGAGCGATTCTTTGTGGGTTTTCAAGCAAATTGTCTGGGTAAGTATTTTTCACCTAGAATTTGATATATTCCATGATTTTATCTTTGTTTTTATCATTTAATTTATGTTTTGAGTTGAGGAAAATGGTGGTTTTTGATGAAAATTTTCAAAAATGAAAAATTATGATTTGAGGGACCAAGTGGTATCGAAATTTTATAATTTTTGTATGGCTAAAGTCGTATTGGAATGGGTATTCGGTTTTTGTAAAATTTGTCGGGTTCCAAGGTGCGGGTCTGGCGGTAGACTTTTGGATTTTTGGATTTTGTTAAAGATTGAGACTTTTGTGATCCGAAATAGTTTCCTGTGACTTTTATTTGTGCTTTGAAGTTATTTTGGTTCGATTTGAGCCGTCCGTAGGTCATTTCACCCGAGAAGTTCATTTTAGAGTATCGGTTTGTCTTCCTTGAGATAAGTATCTTTCCTAATTTT